GTGAGGGGGTGAAATATAAGAACAGTCCAAACAGAGGGATCAGGAGGTGCAAAGGCTCTGGGACAGGAGTATGCCTGCCAGGTTCAAACAACAGCAAGGAGATACTATCGCTGTATTCGAGTGAACAAGAAGAGACTGGTGGAAGATGAAATTAGAGAGTTACCCATGGACTTTATCATTCAGCTCTTGGAGACCATGTAAAGCCTGAGCTTTTATTCTGAGTGAGGTGGGAAGCCGTTGGAGAGTCATAAGCAGAGGACTGACATCATTCTGACATACATTTTACTAACATACACTCTAGTTGCTATATGAAGAACATGCTGAAATGGGCAAGGGCAAAATCAGGGAAGACAGGCTGATATTGAAATGTTCAAGCAGGAAATAAAGGTGGTGAGGCCAGACTGGTAGCAGTGGGAGGAGAAGGGGCTGGATTCTGGATATATCTTGAAGGAAGTGTTCAGGGATTTGCTGGGAGATTGGAGGTGAGCTATGAGACAAAGAAGCAAAAATGTCAAAGTTTTTAATCTGAGCACCCAGAAGAATGGAGCTGCCGTGGACTGCCATGAGGAAGACTGCAGGAAGAGCAGGTTTGGGTGAGAAAATTAAAAATTTGGCTTAGGACATACCAAGTCTGAGAATGCCCATTCCTGTGGAGACGTTGAGTAGGGAGTTAGCTCTAGAGTTCAAAAGCAAGACTGGTAATGGAGATAGAAGCTTGAGAGATGGAAGCCAAGGGCTGGTAATTCAGCCTTGGGTCTGAATGAGATCACCTGGTTTGAATGTAAACATAGCAAAGTGCAAACACACTGAGACCTGGGGATCAAGGAGATGAATAAAACCAAGAAGGGGGACTGAGAAGGAACTGACAGGAAAGTAAGGCAAGAATCAAGAAAATAACAGAAAATAACCCTTGCTTGTGCACTTCACTGTTGGTAGGAACGTAAAATGGTGCAACTACTATGAAAAACAGTACGGGGTTTCCTTGAAAAATTAAAAATAGAACTCCCCTATGATCTAGCAATCCCACTTCTGGGTGTATATCCCGCAGAATTGAAAGTAGGATTGGGGCGCCTGGATGGCTCAGTTGGTTAAGCGACTGCCTTCGGCTCAGGTCATGATCCTGGAGTCCCGGGATCAAGTCCCGCATTGGGCTCCCTGCTCGGCAGGGAGTCTGCTTCTCCCTCTG